CACACACACACACACACACACACACACACACACACACACACACACACACACACACACACACACACACTCATTCATCTCTGCTCGTCGTCCTCAGGGGTCTTTTAAGTGTCTCCATCCAGACTCCAAACAGAAGACTCGCTGTCTGTCATGTCTCCCTTGTCGTTTCTACAACCTGATTGGTCAGCTCTGTTACCGCAGCACTGATGCTCTTGTCAAAGGTCAGCCTCCCTTTCTACCACGTCTCCTTGTGTCCTGTTTCTTCCTTCCTGCCATCGTACTCTTCTTCTTCTGTCCTCCTTCTGTTCAGTCTGAACTTCCAGAGAAACACATTTGCTCTGTTTCAACCAACAAATCCTCTTACAAGCCGCCTGAGCTTGGACTGTTTCCTCTCAGCCACCAGATCCTCCCTGGAGGCCCTGAGGAGGAGACTTCATGTCTCCAAAAAACAGCCACACTTTTCCTCCTTGGTGTCTTCCTCCAGCGGTGCCCAGCCAGCTCCTCCTCCACCTCTCCTCACAACCTCCATCCAGCTTGCAATCCCCAACATGGTCCTCAGACCCAGTCTGGATGACATTCAGGTATTTGTGTCCAGCTGAGCAGATTTGACCCTCAGTAACATTTTGGAAGTTCTCATGTGTCGGCAGGTCCACCGTCTGGTTTCACAGCAGGACGCCACACAGGACTGGCCTTGTAGTTAATGTCATGTTCATGCACCTGCCCGTCACTGCTGTCAGTTACCCAGCCTGTGTGTCCTTCTCACGTCTCAGTCTGTGGTGAATAAGCTGGTGGGCGTCGTGCTGTCTGTGACCAAAGACGTCCCTCTGTGGACTTACTCTCACCTGCAGTACAAACAGCAGCAGGTACGCTCATCTGACTCATCCTGCTTTAAAATCACCTGATAGCAGGCAGCCAATCGCACTCCAGCTTCATCCCACCCCTCTTTCTGTTTCTCAGGCGGAGCAGGCGGCGGGTCGTAGCGGAGGAGAGGACGTGGCAGTGAAGCCAGCGGTGCTGCGAGCGCTGGACAGACAGCTGGCTGAACACAAAGACATCAGCAGGTCAGTAAAACAGTAGAGACATGACAGGATGTTTGTCTGGCTGAGACGCTGTGGACACGCAGAGATGCACAATCACACCTGCAGCTGACGTCCTTTGACTGAAACACACAGAGTGGGTCCTGTGGAGGAAAGTTCTGCAGTCCCTGCACAAAATCTCAAAGTGACCTGCTAAAAATTCAGATGGTGCACAGAGGCTCAGCGGTTAGTGCTGCTGCACCACTGTAGGAGGGTCCTGGGCTTGAACCTGGACAGTGTTAGAGTGTCTGTGTCCTCAGTGCTGCCTGATCAGTTTCACATGTTCATCACGTGATCACATGACAGTCAGCCCATCAGTGCATGTTCTGATGATGATGATGTTTGGAGCAGGTTGGTGATGCAGCTCAGCTCCATCGTGTCACACCTGAAAGCTCAGGCTGCTGAAACCCTGAATGACCTCGGCCACTTCTCCACCCTGTGGAACCAGGTGTGTGTGTGTGTGTGTGT